CGCTAAATAAATACAATTGAGACATTACTGTCGTCGTTCATAATTTGAGTACTTACTTATTTATTAATATTTTTTGTGTCCTCTTCGAGATTTTTAATTGAGCAGAATCAATTTTGTAAACTTTTAATTACCGTGCAAATCGTTTTTTCTCGTATTCAACCTTAAAGGTGGTGTATATATTGAATATTAACGACAATATTTTCATGGAGTATGTTTTTTTTTTGGGCCGTTACAATAATTTACTACGGCTCATATTTCAAATAAGTTATTGATATCTTTCAAGAATTTTAAGTACTTTCGCACATTACATAATTGGTATGTATTTCGAATCGTTCAACATATACTTAGTACATTTATTAACTAATTTTGCATTTCTAATAATATTAATTGCATAAATTCAAACCACAATTACGGAATATAAATTCTTTTTCGTTTTTTTTAATTTTTCGTTTCCTTGCACAATTATCAACATTCATCGAACATCAAGTACCTACTAATTTCCACGAAAAACTACTAATTCCTTGCTCTCTCGCACCACTCGCTACAGTCTGAAATTCGAATCATTCACTTGCTCTCCTAACCGCAGTGCGTCACACTCTTATGCAGCTAATCCTCCTCTAATCAGTGGAAGCATAATAAACTACTGTCGATTTACGCCGAAAGCCCAAATTGAAAAACGACGTTTCGGATTTTTTACGCTCACGCTCGTGTTCACCACCAAAGTAGGGAAACAAACGACCGCCGACACCACCGCCACCACTACCAATTGGTGGTGCACGTGTCGTTGAACTGCTGCTGTGACTATGACTGCTCGAGTGCAGTCCCGACGATGTGGAATAGCCGCCGTATTGTTGATGTGTTTGATGTTGATGTTGATGCTGATTATTGAGTAGAAATCCAGTAGGCGACATGTCAGTCATCTCACACGGCCAGATGGTGACCGAAGATGGGACCTTATGTATCCCGTCCGATAGTCTATAATGGTGGGATGCTGACCGGTTAACGATCCGTGGCGAGGACCTCGACCCCATCTGTTATGTTTTGGGCATATATTTCAATAAAGATTGTTTGGGTTGTGTATTTTGGGGAAAATAAAAGAAATTATGTTAGTATCTTGGTATAGAAAAGCAGAAAAAAATAGTGAGATATCTACTTGAGTTGATATACATACATACATATGCTGGTATAGATATAATGAAAGTCCTGCAGAAATTGATGGGTAACGAATAACGCAACGATTTCAACTGAATATTTAGTACTTCTAGCGAGATTTATCCGCGTAATATTTATAAGTATCGTTAATAGTATTGAAGAGGCCCCGAAGAGGACCCGTGGCAATAGAAAGGTAACAACTGCCCAACCCACTCACATTAAAACCGACTTTTTTATAGAATACCGAGAGATATCTTTAAAGTCGTCAAAACCTGCATATAAGAAATTGGGCCGCCTTCTTTGCAATTATTCACAGGGTTGACCAAAAATCACTACCGAGTGGATTGGTAGAAGAATAAAAAAACATATGTGCAGCAGATCAATGCTCTCAGTACCAAAAATTCTATCTGAACTGAAGTTAGAAGGTAAATCAGATCCATCTTTCTCAACTATAAGGCCGTGTTATAAGAAAAATTCCGTACATAAGCAAACCTATCTTCAGAAAAATATGACGTTTTAAAACCCGAACGCTTTCGGTATAAAATATTGTGGACCACCAGAACAACTCTGTTTGTAGGCAAGAGAGGCGGTCGAGAGATGGATGTTTTTCTCAAAAAATTGTTTTCAACTTCAACCCCGCATTAAAGTAGGAGTTCTGGTGCAGCGCACTAACAAATACACCCAAACTTTCTATACGTATACACATTTGGTTCTGCTGGTTTAGTGTGAAACAGTCGGCATACTCCGGCACTCGATGTTCCGTAATTTTCCCTATATATTTTGTTTGTGCGAAATTATTTAATTATTGGTGGAAAGCTTGATAATTATTCTGTTATTCGGTGATTTGCAAACAGCTGTTCGATATTAATTCGATTTTAAATCCACCCGCTGCCGAAAGGCGTAATGCATATGAGTAAGTAAAATTCATAAATTTTCTCTTGAAATTCTTTTTTTTAGGAAAAAAGCAACGAATCAGCTGTTGATAAACATATGTATATAGTTTACTAGACTAACAAAAGTAAGCTGAAAAGAACGGACACAGTTGGTAAAATTTCCGAGTACCAACTAGCAGTTTACCAAAACGACCGAAATGGGTGTGAAGACCCCTATTGAGAATAATTCTTCTGTAATTTTAGTTGGTAATACATATAGGTTTTGGATTCTGTAACTGGGAGTTTTCGAGTGTACACTGGAAATTGTGTACATTCTTCATTTTGCGATTCAGCAAGTATGAGAATAAGTTTTAACAGTCAAAATTGTGTACACTTCTCTTTCGAAAAATAAAAAATTTCATTCGGTGAGTTTTTGGTTGTGAGTTTTGCACTCAGTTAACACTCTACTTTCTCACACTTACAGAATCTAGCCCCTGGTATAATAGAAATTTAATTCGATGCCCGATCAATTTCCACAGGTACATAGTACATACGTAAATATTTTCTAAATTGTTTTTGCCGCTACACTCTTATACGATGCAAGTGATTTCTCTTCGATTTAGCTACATATTTGGTTTTGAATATTCTATATTAGCCTCCGTATGTATGGTTTTTACACAAAATAGATAATAATTGTGATATGCTTCTAGTAAGTAGAATTTTTACTGATTTACTGATGTGGATCGAAGTTATAAGTAGAATGTATAAAGTTTTAATAAAATATAAATAAAAGAATAATCAATGGAATAAGAAAAGTTCTTCGTAAAGCATGGACAGATAGGCATAGAGTGAAATAGAGACAGAGACAGCGTTTATAAATTGAGATATAAATAGGAAAGTGTTGCGTAAGCCAAAAATGCATTACGCAGTTACGAAATATCAAATACGATTAAGGCTATTACGTTAAAGCGCCAAAAAGCTACGAAGTTTACCGAGAGGTGAGATTACAATACAACGGCTAAGTGTGAAAAAAGTTCAAAAATATTTATCAAAAGTACAAAGGTGTGAAGTTAACGGTAGTTTTTGGTATGCTTACAATTTTTACATGCTCTTTGTTTATGTTCGAATTCATAAAAGTTAATTATATATAAAGTTTTTATTTTTATTTTTTATGCAGCAAAAAGCGTTAGCACTAGAAAAGCGGTGGTGGGCTAGCAAGCGTACAGAAGTTCGAAAGTGATTTAACAGTTCTTTACCTTCTATTTACATAAGTAGTACGTACATACGTATTAACAAACAAACGATAAGTGAGTGAAAATATAAGGAGAAGAAGCGGCCAATTCGAGAGACACGAGCAACCAGAGTGGTGGTAAGTACTTGGCATGAGAATTAAGCGCTTTTTAAGCATGATTCGAGTGCGTCCCGAAAACGTTGTTTTGTTGTAGTAACGTGTTGTGATTGGTGTTTTGGTCGATATAGTGTTTCATGTGGCGTTTTTTTTTTTTTTTAATATTTTATACATTCAGACACATTTTGGGAGTTTCACTCGGCAAAGGCATTAAAATTGACCGCATAGTATTTTTGATTTAATCTACAATCGTACGCGTGTATTTGGTGGTATCTGTGGATTACGAAGTAGAAAAAATATACTTATTTCGCAATGCAAATACAATATGTACCTATTAAGCAAAAAATTAAAAGAAGAACTTAATAAAATAGTGGTTATAAAGAAATTCATATTCGTAGCGTTGCCATTCCTAGCAGGAAATCAGATTTAGTTTGTTTTTTTTTTTAATCCATATGTTAAAATTCTGCTCTGAAATTAAAAACAAAAAATTGTAATTCTGCTATTCTCTTCAAAAGAGCTCTAAGTAAGCTATTCGATGCTTTAACGATGAACGATTCGTATGAACTTTTTAACGAGTACATTCTTCGATCACTTTGACGATGCTTAAGCGACGATTGGCAGCTTAAATGCTGTACAGTAAGTAGTAGGTGTATATAGCACTTGGGTACTTACCAAAGCAGCGGGCAGCGGCTACATTACAGTTACGTTTACGATTTACGTTTGCCTGCGCGTTTACGTTTACAACAGTTATGGCTTTTATTTAAGCCATTTTTTGTTTTTGTGTTTATTTACATAAGTTCTTACGTACAGTGAGATGAACTTCTTACGTTTACGAATGGTGAATTCTGTGCAATTGTGCTGTGCGCTCATTTGACATTTGTGTTCTGACATTATTTGCCTTTTAAGAATTGACGCATGATTGTGAGGAGCGTGGCCGTGTGTGTCACCGCCTATCTTGTGGTGGGTGATGCGACCACAACATCTCTTCTACAAAACGCCGGGCGGCTGTAGTTACGTGGTGTGGTTACGTGATGATTACGAGATTGTTAAATTTTTTTTTGGTTGTTTTTTAATTCATAACGTTTTAGTAAGCATTTGTAGTTAGTTAACCAATTTATTGACAAAAGTTTTGTTAGTTATTTTTTACGATAAAAAATTTAGTTGAGAAAAGAATTTTGAAAAGGAAAGTGAAAGATTAAAATTTAAGTAGAAGCGATAGTTGTGTGGCATACATATATCTTTGATATACTATGTATTTATGTTTATTTTTTTATTAATGAAAACCTATGTGTTTTTAGGTAATTCAACATAGTCCATAGATAGAAAAAATAATTGAAATGCTTGTCTAAGGCAAATACATAGTATAACGTTCAGCTACAAAAAAAGAACTCAGTGGAATTGCAAAATTTAATAAAATCTTATAATGGAACCTAACTGTCAAAATAACAAAGGAAAACATATGGGTTAGAGTGTCATTGAAGAATAAAATCAAGCTTCGCGAGTGTTCCTGCAGGAGTGATTCGTGAGCGAGCTTTTTAAGCTCACAACTCGGAAATCATAAATCAGCTCGATGTGTTTGTTTGCTTATCATGCATGCGACTATATGAATGTACATAATTAGTTAGAAAGAACGGAGAATATAAAGAAGTTACAGTTATAATGGTTACTGTGACAAGTTTTAGATAGCTTATTTGACCATATTAATATCCAAATCTTAAGGGATATTGATGTAAAAAATTCAGCTTCCCGAAACACTATATCGCGAATAACCACAAATTCTTTATATTTCACGCTTTTTGGTACATATGAGGAGTGTTTTAAAAGACAATAAAAAATCATAAAATATTGACCCTTCATACATACACACATATATACTTATGTATAATGTTATTTGATCTTTTCTGTGTTCAGTGGTGGCCACATAATTAGGGACACTACTTTTTTACAAGTTTTAACAGTTTTTCTTTATTTATTTTTAATTTATTTTAGTTTTTTTTAACAAAAATATAACTTTGGCCACAAAGAAACCCAAGTAATTCAAAGATTTAAATCTTATAAAAAATCACCGAATTTTAAAAAGTGATGATCAAAATTTCAAACTTTTTAATCCGCATTTCTTGAGAAAAATTCGGGTATGCAGTTCTACAGCCCATTCGATTTATTACAAGTTGTGCTAAAATTGTCCAACATACTCGTATTTTGTATGGCAGAAAATGCGTAACAACGTCGGCAAAACAATTTTCAAAAACTTTGAATATTATTTCTACTAAAATGAAATGGAATATAGAATTGTATACCCAATTTTTTTCTAAAAATTCTGATCAAATTGTTTGAAATTGTGATGGCCACTTTTATTTATTTTTTTTTTTAATTTGATGAACTTTTATACATATATTTTGTGCAAGGTTTGAAATTTTGAGTTGCATGGTTTCGGTTGTAAATTTTAAATACATATAAAAAAAATAAATGCCTTAAGTTAAAAAGAAATATTGCCTCTAATTATGTGACCACCACTGTACATACATATGTATGTATTTATGCATATCCGAAAGGCTCGATCCAGTACGGTCGGTAGAAATTATTTCACGTTAATTTCTGATTTTAACGTAAAAGGTGGGTATAGACTAGGATAGAGGTTTATGCAAATGGTTAAACAAATATTTCCTTGCTTCGTTTTCGCGATTTTCAGAGTAAACTTGAAAACAATTATCTGTTCTCTAAATTTTTCTTTTAGTGACCAGCTTAGAGCCAGCCGAAAAATTAGTGACTTTTTTTAGATTAGAGACGTCGTGAGACAGCTTACTTAATACAAAAATCGATTTTCACCGCGAAAAGTCTATATTCGTTACTAGAGACTGGTCACTGAATACCGGCATTATAGTCTCAACTTAGGTGACTTGAGATGAGACTGACTTATTAAATACCAGTATTAAAGGCATTGCTTTGACAAAATTAGTTGCAAGATTTTTATAAGGCAGTACTTCGAGGTTTGATAGAAGTTATTTTGCGAGATAGGAAAAGAATTTAAAAATTTATTTAAGAAAAAAAAATATCGCTGAACTTGCCGAGTTCGTGAGGAGTTATTCTATAACTAAATGTCCTTTTTCACTTCTAATAACTTTTTTTGACTTTTTTTCAAAATCAATTTAGTTGAGGTCTGGTCACACTGTAGCAGTAAACAAAATCCGAAAGCAGGAAATAATGTGGTGATTCGCTGTTTTCCCCCACAAACTAAACAACACTTTCTCGCAATCTAAAAAGGACGGTCCGGGCCGGCATTAGGGCGGCGAGAGGGGCGCCAAATTGAGGGGGACGAAAAATTCTGGGATAGCATTTAATTTGTTTATTGCATAACATTCGCGAATGTGAATTGGGGGGGGGGTGCTGACGAATCTTCTACTCCTAACTCTTGAAAACAACAACACAAATATCGGTTATTTACAAAACAAAGGAGATCAGGCCAGGGACCTCGAATTAAATCCGAGAGCACCGTTTGTACCATGGGGGTGGAAATTATTGAATTTGGTGAGGGGCAATGTTGCCTCTTCATCCAGAACATGCATTATTCTTTTTGGTATACTTCAGCGCATCTAATTTCTATTCTCAGCATCTATCCAGAGATGGACCATTTTCAAAAATCATGTCAAACTGTTATGCACAACTCTTTGGAAAAAACAGACTGGATATGGCAAACAAAATTTAGGTAGCTCTAATGGAGATTTTCTTTTATTCCGATTTGAGATATCCTGCTGTCCAACATGAATTTAGAACTGATTTTTTCGTTGTTCTACTATTTGACACTGCCCTAACTGCTGTCAAGCTGAAAATCTATGGGAATTTTCTTCTTACTCACAATCGCAAGCGTACCCAGATTCAATCGAAGATGACATAAATTTATAGACATTTGCGAAGATTATGAGAGGGTCTCGCTTTACATTCCTCCCGTTAGATACGAGCATTGAACATCTGAAGACTCGTTTTTCCAAAGGAATTTGGAATTACTTGAGTTTGTTGCTTCCAGCCATTGTATGTACATATATTCTCTGAAAGCAGATGGAATCAAAAACCCCATCGAACATTTGGTAGAAATATTTGGTGGTGGTGACAAACCCCCACAGAGCAGAATTTGTTTTGATTACACCGCAACTCCTTTTCACTCTGCTTAGAAACTTAGAAAAATAGAAACCACCTCTCTCTGACCAACGTTTTTCCTTAACCCATCATCTACACATCCGCAATTTAAGTGTAATCCATCCATAAAATTATAATTGGGACACTAACATAGAAGACAGACCAAGATGCTTTTAAATAATAACACTTTTTTGTTTAATTCAAAATGTAGTCCCGCAATAGAGGTTCATATTAATTCTTAACTATTTTGCGATCATAATTTTTTTGTGCAAAATTCTAGAGAATCTGTTTTGATTTTGTTTGTCGTTCATTTAAGAATATGTGAAATCTAAGATATAAAGCAAAAGTGTTATCTGCCAATGGCTGTTGTCAGTAAACTAAGCAAAACTTACAAATAATTAGGCTTAAATAATTTTAATACAAATGGTTTGTTTAATAAACAACTTTTAAATATTTATATTAGAGAGGTGATAGGCTCAGGAAAACATATAAAGATTTGTACCAGGATAATAGTTTGTATATCTGCTGATCCGCAATATGTAGTAAAATTTTTATTTTTTTTTTTTATTGTAGAATATGATTGATTTAGTCAAATGCAAAAAATAGAGAAAAACACACAATCAAAAAACATTAACTCGTTCAGTATCATTACAATATCAATTAGGTAAGGCAAAAAACATATCAAAAACGTTTTGCAATGTTTACGGTATTACAATATTTATGGTGTATGTGTTCGTATAATATATAGGTAGGTACTTGAGTATTTTTTTCATAGGCAGTTAAATATCAAATTTTACGCAAAAAGTACAATAACAACAATGACACTCTCACATTTTCTTTTAAGAGGAAAAATCAAATTTAAATAGAATCGATTTAGAATACATACAAAAATAAAAATAAAAAATTGACAAGAGTTGCAAATTAAATGAGAAAGAATGCAACCAATTGTGTGAAAGAATACCATAACCAGTAAATGAACCGAATACGAGTATAATAATTCAAAGATACAAATTTTGAAAACAATTTTTGAGAGCTAATGATATACACAAATGTATCGTCCCTCCTAGAAGTTTTGAAAAATTCATAACTTAACAAAAATTAAATATTTATACATACATACATATGTACGTATGCAGTACAGTAAAATTAAAGTTAAAAAAATAGGCAATCAATTAGCCGATTTCTTGCAGGCAGATCTATTATTTTTGAATACTGTTAGGCTATATGGTCCAGAGGGAATGTAGAACTTTATTGGTATGTGGGTCTCAGGATGTTGGGAAAATTTTAGAATGGCCAATGTTTTTTCTAACTCAACGAAATAGTTATTTTAGTATTCACGTATTAGTAGTAGCTAAAGTCCAATAACAAGAAGATGTTACCGATTCCAGTTTCTTTTTTTTTTTTTTAATAAAAGACGAATAAATTTCAGGTTAATCTATCCGTGGCGACTTTTTTAAAAAGCTTTAGTTTTTTTATTTATTGAAAAATGAAAGAAAACAAATACTTGACATTAATTTCAAATGTCTGCAATTATTTAAAGAATTATTCGT